ATCCCCAGTGCCCGGGGCCGAGCCGGCAGTGCTGAGGTGGCTCTGCCTGTCCCTCCAGGTGACATCACAGCAGAGACGCTGATGTCCATCCTGCGGGACAAGGACAGCGGGATCTGTGTGGACTCGGAGGGGTTCCGCACGGCCGGCAGCATGGTGTCCGTGCTGCCCCGCGACCCCGCCCTGCCCTGCGTCCACTTCTTCACCGCCACCCCCGACCCCTCCAGGTGAGCCCCACGGCGGGGACAGGGATGCGGCATTCCCAGCAATTCTGCTCTCTCATCCCGCCTTATTCTCCAGGTCTGTCTTCAAGCCTTTCGTGTTCGTGGCTGGCATCAAGCCGGTGCCGCAGGTGAGATCCCCGAGCTTCCTGCAGGATCCTGCCAAGCAGATCCCGAGGTTCCAGAGCTCCGTGGATCGGCGGCACGAGCTGTACCGCCGGCACCAGGCGGCGCTGGAGCTCATGGAGCAGGACCGGGTACCGCAGACCCCAGAGATCCCACTGACCCCACAGATCCCACAGACCCCAGAGTCCCCACTGACCCCACAGATCCCACAGACCCCAGAGACCCCACTGACCCCACAGATCCCACAGACCCCACAGACCCCAGAGACCGCAGAGATCCCACTGACCCCAGAGACCGCAGAGATCCCACAGACCCCACTGACCCCAGAGACCTTGCAGACCCCACAGACTTTGCAGACCCCACTGACCCCAGAGACCCTGCAGACCCCACAGACCTCAGAGACCCCGCAGACCCCACAGACCCCGCAGACCCCACAGACTTTGCAGACCTCAGAGATCCCACAGACCCCACCGACCCTAGAGACCCCACAGACCTCAGAGACCCCGCAGACCCCAGAGACCCTGCAGACCCCACAGATCTCAGAGACCCTACAGACCCTGCAGACCCCATAGACTTTGCAGACCTCAGAGACCCTACAGGATCCCACAGACCCCAGAGACCTTGCAGACCCCACAAACCCCACAGACCCCGCACACCCTTTCCCACCCTACAACAGGATCAAACCCTGAGCTCTCAGATCCCGCTCTGGATTGGACCAGACTCGCTGAGCTCTCTGATCCCGGCAGGAGCGGGGTCAGAAGCTGCTGGAGACGCTGCAGGAGCTGGAGAAGCAGGGCCTGCAGGGGATGAGGGAGCTGCTGCAGGGCTCTGTCACCCCCTGCCCGGAGGAGCTGGCCGACCTCTTCTTCGACTGCGTGGAGGCTGAGATGAAATTTTACACCTAAACCCCACACAGGTGGGTGGGCTGGCCTTCCCCCACGGCGTTTTTCATGGATAAGGAATCACAAAATATTCCCAGAGTCTGACTATGACTCTTCCTGACTCCCTCCATGGGTCCCAGCCCTCAATTTACCCTGGGGGAAACACTGAGAGGTGGCCACGGCCTGGAATGAGGTGCAAAGGGAAGGACAGGGATATGGGATGGGACTGGGATCCCTGCCCACAGCCCTGTGTGTGCTTTCCCCCATTTCCAGCCCCTCAGGATGGCTGTAGGGTGGCATCCAGCTGGACTGGGGTGGAAATAAAGATTTTATTCCTTGCTGCTGCTGCGGGATATTTGGGATAACTTCCCATTCCCTGCTCCTTTGGCACCAGTCTCCTTCTCCAGAGCTTTGCCTGAGGGCTGGATGGTGCCAGGAGCTCTCTGGGACCCGCTGGATGCCACCAGAGGTGACAGCTGTGCCCTCGGGGGCTGTGTCCCTCCTCGGGGGCGGAGCTGACACCATTCGGGTGTGTCTCTGTCGCTGTCGCCGGCTCCGTCCTCTGCCAGCTCCAGCAGCATCGCCCGGCGCTCCCACAGCTCCTGCAGCCGGGCCCGGTGCTCGTCCAGGATCTTCCTCCTCCTCCTCCGCGCCCGCCCCGTCAGCTCCCGGCGCAGCTCCAGGAGGAAATCTGCCAGGGAAGGGACAGGAATTCCGGGAGATGTGGCACTGCCAGCACTGAGACCGAGAGTGCTGCGTGTCCTGTCCCCATCCTGGCACCTCTGTCAAAAGTGAAGGGAGTCGTCTGCTCAGGGTGCAGCTCCTCATCCTCCTCCTCCTCCTCGCTGCTGCTGCTGCTGCAGGAGCCTCCTCCCGCCTCTTCCTCGGCTTTGTGTTCTTGGATGGGCTGGAAATCCAGCTGCAGGAGGTTGGGCAGGGCTGCCAGCACCAGATCCCTGTCGAAAAAATGAAGGAAAAGACAAATTTTCTGTAGCTGTGGGGTTGGGAGTGGGTGTCCCATCCTCCTT